TGACACCAATATGTTTTGAACAAAGCTCAAAGCTTCACATTAGTTATTCTGTCATACCAAATAATTTCTTCTATTCTGCACAGGCACAAGTCAATGAATGTCATTGAATCAGTTCCCACTAAAGTTTGATTCTTCGGAATTGCTTTATTTTTACCTTGGGTACACAAACAAAAGGGGACTGAACTGTCAACACAGTTTCCTCTAAAATCCTAAAGTTACCGTTCTTGGCATTCTCAGGCTATTTATTCTTGGGCCGCATGTATCTTTTGATAACCAAGGTCGTCCTCATGTTGGACGCTCCAGCTTCGTCCTTTTTAGGACATTTTTTGTTATTTGAAGCCCCACCCTGGCTTTTGCCAGGGGCTGCAATATAGTCAGGCCATAAATATGGCCAATTGTCTGAACGTGGTTTCTGGGACCTCTCCACAGCGATCCTCATCCACATGGTGGCACTTTCTGTCATCTGGTGTTTATCGCTTGTGTAATGTCCTGGTGAGGTAGAAAGTCAGTCAGTCAGTATCTTTTGATACCACTGGCAAGACATCAATGTTGCTTCGGGATATGTCAGTTAAGTATTTTGTGTACACGTGTGGTTTTGTTTGATTTTTGTAATGTGCTGATGAAGGCTCTGGGGCCGCAATATTCACTTTCTGTTTGTGTTCGCCATATTATGAAGCTGTCTACTTTTTGTTTGGTTTTCTATCTTCCCACTAAAGACAAAATTATATTTCTTCCTAACTAGCTAGATTCTCAAGTCTATCCAGTCTCATAAAAATATTGGTATCTGATTATTTCAAGATTTCTGAACATAACTATTTACACATGTTGATGACATCCTTATATTAAGTTTTTTTCTTGATTTGTTTAATATGATTACTGCTTTTTAAAATATATACTTTATTGCCACAACTAAAGATATCTCATAAAGTTGCTCCAAAACCTTAACAGGGAAGAGTACAAGAATGTTAAAATCGTTTGCAACTTTTTGTCAAGAGATTTTTGTCTGTTACAATGGTCCTATAATGTGACAGAAAAATGTTTGAACTTGTGATTTATTTAATAAACTCATTGGTAAAATTTATTCTTCCTTATTCTGTACTTTTTCTTGTTTTGCTTTAATTTTTTAATTTTTTTCATTAAACATATCTTAAAAAATAGATGTGTCTGTAATGAAGAAACAAATTTTTTTAAAGACAGTTACAAATTAAGCAGCTCTACTAAGACCGGTCCCAAGCCCAGCTGGAAAAGGAGGAGGGTCTGGCTGAACCCGAGTGCTCCAAGTGTCTCCAGAAGTAGGGGTTAACCATGAATCAGCCAGATGGTAGGCATGGAGGCAGCTCTTCCACGATGCAAAGGCACAATAGGCCAATCACCTGTTTACCTAAAACCATTATTACAAGTCATCACAGAGAAAAAAAACCAGACGGATCTTAATGGTGGTGAACTAGCACTGTTCACAGACAACGAGATATTAATAGAAAAGAAAACAAAATAATAGGGGAGATGTTGAAAAGAAAATTAGGAATCTTAGCTCTGACTGAGACTAAGAAAAAAGGGCAGGAATCACTGATTATGATGGCAGTATGTAGTTCTATAGTGGTATCCCTACGCCACAGAGAGCCAGGGGAGGTGCTGGCTGTATTATGGCCAGGAATCTGTAGGAAGAAGATAAAACTGTCAATATTGTTATTACCTATGGACCAAATGAATATGTACGATTAGATGTCAAAGAAGAATTCTTCGAACTGTTCCAAAGGATCACAGATAATTACCTTGATGAAATTATCCTCCCTGAAGATCTAAATGACAGAGTTGGGAATGATCATTCTAAATGGGGTGGAGTGATCTGGATATATGGTGAAGATGTTTTGAACAACAATGACAAGAAGCTTCTCAGATTCTGCAGGGAACATAACCTTGTCATTACAAACACAGCTCTCCCACAAACGCATAAGTGCATACACAAGATGTAAACCTCCAAAGAATGAGAATCCGTCACTGACTATGCCATAGTGAGGTAAAGTTCATTCAAGAGCCAGAGGTGTGCTTCGCTGGGGAAAAAATCGTCACGTTCAACAAGCATCTCCCGAAGGGGAGCTTTGGTTATCATTGTGACCAGCTTATGTGCATCAAATAAAATGCACACCACAATGAACCCTGATAAGAACTGCAGTGTCGATGCGATCCGACAAAAGGTGGCAGACAAACAAATACTGTCCCGACTGGCGACGAAGTCGTCTACTGGTGGGCCAATGGGCAACCAAGTCGCCGATGATAGGAAAAAGAAAAGACATGGAAGCAATACTTTGCAGTTAGGAAATGTCACAACCCTGTGAGTACAGTCAGTGGCGGGATGGACCACACCGTAGGGTGTACCGAGTTCAGGTGACACCCCAGGGTTGACACAAAGGTCAATGCCGTGACTGGCCAAGTCTGTGCTGTTTGCACGGTGAAACTATCGCTCAGTAGAAACCACTTGGCCACGACAAGAAAGAGTGAACTCTGTTGCAGACAAGTTCGCAACACGATTACCCCTTTGGGGACTGAGCAGGTGAACGGGTAAAAAGACACGAGGTGATAGACCACAGGGGATTGAGTGTACAGCGTTCAGACGGAGCAGACGTGTTAGCGAGACAGTGATAGTATATTAGAGTTAGGATATTTCTTTAGTGGCTGCATAGAGTATTTACAGTGTTCTGTTAGAATAGGATAGTCTTTTGTGCTGTGTATTTAACTGGTACAAGGTATTGTGTTGTGCTACAATAAGTAACTAGTGTCCAGTTACTTCTGACCAGTTAGATCGTTTAGTTACATGTTCTGTGCGAGAATGTTTAACCTTGTCATGCGGATCCTGCACTAGACAGAGGCTGTGTCATCTTGCTAGGTCAGTGTGTCGATAGATAAGAGCGTATCCAGTGCCAGTGTGGTTTGTGCACCGAAGATTGCCTGTGGAACGTACTGGGGAGCGAGGCGACTGTAAAGTTCGTTCGGTCAGAGGGTCCAGGCAAAAAGTGGCCACACAGCGGGAAGTTAACTGGCTGTTGTATTAACTGTACTCGCAATAAAGATTGTCATGTGTGCTCTGTGTGCGTTCGGGTTCAGTGTGTGTTAAAGGTTAGTTTGTCTGTCATAAACCCAGTTACGAGCAACGGACCATCAAGGTCACCCCGAGGTTTGTGACAGGAACACAGTTAAAGAAACTGAGAAATATAAATAATATGTAACACCTAGAACATATGGCAAAAATGTAGTGCTTAATGCAGTTCATAAATCATTGGAAGAATTTTTTTAAATTCTAAATACGGAGTTTCTACAAAAACTGCAGAAATTATGTAAGAACGGGAAACCAAAAGTCAGAAGGATTTAAGACCACTAGCGGTGTTAGGGAGATATTCTCTCACTTTACCTCTTCAACCTTCTGATGGATGATGTCATCAAGACCTGTAAGGAGAAAACAATGAGCATTCAATCGGGTACTGGAAAATGAGACCAACCTGCATATCAGAGTTGGCATTTCCAGATGATGTGGCCCTGACAGCTAAATCGGAGGTATATCTTCAATTCAACCTACATGTCTGCAAGGAAGAGCTTGAGAAGAGATGGATGAGCATAAGCGTCTCCTAAACTAAAACCACGGTGATCTCCACAGACGAGAAGAAACTTCAGATCATGATGGGACAAGTTGCACTGGAGCGGGTCAGCCAGTTCAAATACCTTGGAGTTGCAATAAATCAGAATGGAGGCATCCAGTCAGAATTTGCTGTTTGAAAAACAACAGCTGGGAGACGTTTCATGGTTATAAAAGGAGGGATTCTCAGCAAGAACAAAATTAACAAGGGACAAAAACGGCTTTATACCGCTTTACCTATGTGCCAGTCCTGGTGTATAGATGCGAATCATGGGCAGTGACAACAGTTCACATAAGCCATCTTCATGCCTCAGAAACGAGGTGTCCGAGAAATGTGGTCAAAGTGACAAGAAGGGACAAAGTTCGCAATCAGGCGATACGTGATGACCTTACAACCCAGGCCTTACAAACTCGAGTGGATCAGTCACAGTTACGATGATTTGAACCTGTATGCAGAATATGAGAGAATCTGCCACCACTGCAGCAATGGGATGTCAAGAACCATGGAACCAGACCACCAGGACGACCCAAGGTTCGCTGGAAAGACAACACCCGACAGCCCAGAGAAGTCTGGTGATCTCTCTGGCAAACCTCTAGACCCAAAAGTAGAAGAATAGCGGCTAAGTAAGTAAGAATTATGCAAGATTTGGTTTAGATTTCCATAAACTGATCTCTGTCAGCGTTTGAATGCTGAACAAACTTCAGAAAATGTCCTACAAGTCTGTTCTCTCCTGGAGGAGCAGCGAAACAACGTGTGGCTACATCCAGTAGACTTGACAACTGGGTTTTAAGGAAACCTGAGAGATCTCGAGCCCACCTGACAAGAAAGCTTTAGGGAAACCTAAGAGACCTCGAGCCGATATCCCGGTTTATAGCCTATAGTGTGTTAAATATGACTAGATATTGTTGAAGAAGTAACGGAAGAAGGAGACGACGAAAAATAAGCAGCAGCAACAGAAAAAGAAGACTGATTTTTCATGCCTGTTTGACATTCTGCCCTTCATCGTATTTTACGATTTCCGACATTATGTATGTTTATTGGTTGACATCTTGCATGCCATGACAGAAGCCTGATTTATAAAACTCATTTATTACACTTGCAGCAGCCCGGAAGGGACAAACAGATCTCAATTCGACATTAAAGGGATATAACTCTAACACAGTTTGTTTTTGTGACTGATAATAGCCCCTGAGCAACGTCAGCTGTGACTGCTGGCAATCAAAGAGACATATATTCCGATAGTTAACTACTAACTATGTTGGGCCAGGACTAAAACACTTATGTCAGATGTATCTCCTACATGCTGCATTATAAGTGAAGTTAAGAAGTTAACCAATGTTTATTTTGAGAATGCTGGCCAGGAATAAACGCATGCTAGCGATCTTCGTTTGCCTGGTGTTTTGTTTAGTGCTGGCATTTTTGCTGCTTGCTTCAAATGTCAGTATTTCCGCCGAGAAAACCAGCTCGCCGCCGCTTCTGATCATTTCTTACGATGGATTTCGTTGGGATTATCTCAATCGTACACGCACGCCAAACTTTGATCACATTATAAAACATGGCGTGTATGCCAGAAGAGGGTTGGTGAATGTGTTTGCGACCTCGACACTTACCAACCACTGGTCTATGGTGACGGGGTTGTACCCGGAGAGTCATGGTATCATTGATAACCACTTCTTTGATCCCGATGTGAACAAAACGTATATTCCTCTTTATCAGAACTGGTCTGCTGTAAATGACCCGCGATTTTATGACACGGGAGCTGAGCCAATCTGGGTTACAAACCAGCTGCAGAAAGAAAATGGTCGCAGTGGGAGTGTTATGTGGTGGGGCGCAGAAAATATTGTGAAAAATACTAGGCCCACACATCATATGCCTTATAACCTAACTATAGAAAGCACTTACATTATTGATACCATGGTAAAATGGTTCACACAAGATTCAGGGATCAATCTAGGTCTTCTGTATTTCTCGGAGCCGGATCATACAGCACATCAGTTTGGTCCCGATTCTGATAATGTGACACAAATGATTGGCAAAGCTGATGAACTGACAGGTTATCTCTTTCGTCAGTTGTCTAGAAATGATCTTCTAGAGGATATGAATATAATATTCACAAGCGACCATGGTTTTGCTTCTGCTTCCAAAGAGAATCTCATTTATCTGGATAAATACATTGACCCCAGCTGGTACACTGTGATCCACTACACACCGGTTGCTGCTATTATGCCTAAACCAGGTATTGTTAATTATTGTTTACTTCTGTTGAACTGTTAATTTATAATTAAATATTGTATATTGTCTTCTTATTCATACACCTTGAGTTGAGTCAAGATTGACATCACAGCACTCGGGGCATTCCCATGCAAGCTCCCTCCTTATCTTCAGCAGCCAGCGCAGAGTTCCATATGGTACTGGTCTGAATCTGATTAAATGTCCGTTTTGCCTTTCCTCTGACTGTAGTGAGCTGGCCAGACCCTCTGGTTATACCCAGGTCCCTCATTCTCTCCAGGCCATAATAATTTTGTTTCTCTACTGATTCTGTTGCTTGTTCTTAAAGGGCCTTGACCACATCTGCCTTGTCATATATCAGTTCACCACCTAGTGGTGCAGATGCAGCCAATCTGTCTGCATGTTCATTACCCACTATGCCGGCATGGTCTGGAGAAAAGATTCAAAGTATACTTACTGCCTGTGACCTTCCCAGTGAAGCTTGCCACTCTGCTCAAAGCATCCCTGTCTTCACTTTTCTCAGGCATGATGACATGTATATGCATCTTGTTGTCTAGCCGCCGGAGAGCTGCAGTTACCGCCTCCACCTCCATTCTCATGCTAGATGTTGTGGTGTCGTATGCTTGGCTGTCTTGCACTATTCATACACCTTTGGATGACAACCTGCATATATTTAAGGAAAGCAATTAATTTAACAACAGAGATCTGTATTTGAAGAGCTGCTAGAGTTTTAAAAAAATGAAACCAGTCAAAAAGCTTATTAAACAACAGTTGTCCTTAAGAAAGAAAATAAAGGCTTTTGAGCTGAAATGCTATAGAAAGATTCTCAGAATACCATGGACAATAAAGAGAAGAAATACTGAAATTTTAAAAGATCTGAACATCTAGGAAGATTGGCTGATAAACAGCATCTTGTCTCTGGAGCTGAAATAGTTTGGTCATATCAAGTGCAGTGGCGGATTGGAAAAAATAATAGCAGAAGTCATGGTACCAGGAAGGAGGGACAGGGGCTGACCAACACCAAGATGGGCACAGGACATAAGTTACTTCTTTCAGCCATGATGAGAACGACGTTCTGCAAAGAACCTGCTACATGATGGATAAGATAGTTAGGTCATCTGATGAGAATGTTCAGGTACCAGCTGCCACAGAGAGCCATATTAAAGAAATACAATAAGCACAGAGCAAGGGAAAGACCATACGAAATATGGAATGACAGCATCAAGAACATCCTTATATTTCTTCAGCATTGTTCTCCATTCACCATTATTAAGACATCCAAGCATAACTATGAGTGCAAAGAGACAGATTATAAATAGCATATTTATTCCAACATTAGGCTACCAGTGCCAAACATGGACACTATCTGAAGCCCATATACGCAAAATCACCACCTGCGAGATGAGGTGCCTGAGAAAAGCAGCCAACCTAACCATACGAGATCGAGTGAATAATGAAACTATCAGGCAAATTGTGGGAACGACACCTTGTACTAGATTCATCGAGAAACAGCAGATGAAGTGGTTTGGCCATCTTGTTAGAATGCTGCAATATCAAATACCATCACAAGCACTACATCTCAGAAGTTCAGCTACTAGAGCAAGAGGACGGCCGCGGAAAACATGGATCGGCAACATTAAAGACACTACGCCTTCACGGCATGACAATAGCCAGTGGCAGTCAACGTGTGCTGGTTCGCAAATTATTCCTCCCCACGACGCTTAACGGCAGAAATGGTTTACGATGATGAATTCTCATCACATGGTCAGACCATCTCATCTGTTGCTCTTTATTGAATTCTTTGACTTCCCCAGTTGTATTCATCATTATCCTTTAAACTGTTTTTGATCGTATGTTGTATTGTATTAGCTGGATGTATCAGAAACTGGACTTGACTTGGTTGTATTCTAATAGAAACGTTCCAGATTTGTGAGTTGTTCATGCAGGGTATGCAGAGTTAATTATCTGGCATCCTCATGAAGAATGACAGTAATTCTTTGCAGACTGGAGGATTGCAAACAACATGGAGGATTGCAAACAACATGCCGTGGGACCAGGACTTTATGCATTACCCATTTAAGGCTGGGTGGACCTGGGAACCAAGGTCATGTTTGACAGCAATCTGGCACCATATATACATTTGAACCCATGACCTTTGTATCTTCAGGCAAATGTCTAGCCGCTACACCACAGCAGCTCCCAGTGTTTGTATACTTCTTCGTCTTCTTCTTCTTCTCTTCCACCTTTTACCTCATCGAAGTGTCGGGGGGAGATGTAATGTTCGTTGATGATCTCTGTCAAGAGCATTATTAAGACTGATGTTCATTTCTGTAAGGCTGTTCTTAATGCCATCACTTCATCTTTTCCGAGGTCTTCCACTCGCTCTATACCCGTTGTAACATTTTAGTGTGGCTCGCTGCGGCGGATAGTACCAGGGCATTCTTGTTAGGTGTCAAAACCACTTCATTTGTTGTTCTTTGATGACCTGTAAGACTGGCTTTATTCCTAGCATTTGTCTGATTTTGTATTCTGTCTTTCCTTGAAACTCCTGCAGCTCTTCTAAGGCATTTCATCTCTGTTGTCACAATTTTACGTTCATCGGAGGATGTAAGTGTCCACGTTTGGCATTGATAGCATAGTGTTGGCCAAAAAATAGTTCTGATAAGATTCACTTTAGTACCGTTTGTATACTTGAGATTCAAAATCTGTACCATTATTCTGTGGTGTGAGCCGTAAGAAGTGCTCAAGAAGGGTTGCAGTATGATTGGCTACTTATACTGTAAACATTTGCTGTTAAGTTCAGACAACTATAATATCTAGTCACCAGTTGCTTTTTCAAAGGTCTTGAGCTCATGTCTGCAACTAGGGACACTATTTTTCCCCCAGAACTGACCTTGATGCCAGGTCAAACCACCCTAAAATAAGTTCCAGGTAATGTCCTGGGAAGTAAAGGTGACTAGTATGGTGTTGACCTTATATAACTGGTCTACAAAAATACATCTAGCGTCATATGCCCTGTGCACTATTTTCTTCTTCTTCGTTTCTCTACTCCTGCAGCCTCTCGGCATCAGGGCAGGAAGAGATCTCCTGAACTGTTTGCTTCATATCAAGTACTTTTCATTGTCTCTGAAATTTATGCGGTCCATCTTCTGCGTGGTCGACCTTTGGCTCTGTTACCATTGTATATATATATATATGTAACATTGCTCTCTGTGGTGCCCTGTCTGATGCCAATCTTGTTACATGGCCAAACCATTTGATTTGTTGTCTACCTTGTTCATCACTGGCATAAAAAGTTCCTATTACTGTTAATTTTTATTAAACTAGTCTAAAGATAGGATGGCTTTTAAACTAGTCTAAAGATAGGATGGCTTGATGTGAGTTGATTGCGGTCATACAGACTAATGAGGAATAAAGGGCAGTAGAGGAAGACAAATACAAGAATCCCTAAGAGCACCCATATGCAAGGCAGACAAAAAACACTGTCCTGCGGTTTAAACTCGATCCTGGGGGGGGGGGGGGGGCTGCGTTGTCTCAAGGTGTGGTGTCTGCCTCAAGTGCTGGAAGTTCTGGGTTCAATCCCCGATAAGGCTGTGATTTTTTAATGTGGACTTGGACTTCTAGTAATTATCCTTGGTCTCTGGGTAGTGAGATGGGACACATGTGAGCATTGTTGCGCGCAAAAAAATTCCTTTGTAGTTGGAAATCGAAAAGAGTAGCCTCAAAATTTGGTGTTTAAAATCCACCCAGGGTATTTCAGGATCCTCACCAGTGCTACAGAGTCTGAGCACTGTGCTGAGCTTCTTCGGACTCAGACTTGAGTTAGAAGAACGGAGTACTTATGGGTTACTACCCATGTGCCATAATGTTGGTCCTTGGTTCAAATGTTAAACTTGACCCTGCGAGGTAAAATAGGGCCAAAATGAAGAAAATAAAACAAATACTGCCTGATTGTTAGTAATTAGTGATTAGAAAGGATTATCATCGCAGCATTCCGGACAGATCCATAGGTTCTCCAATCTCCTCCTCAAAAGCTCCACAAGTGTAAAACAACTGATGACGCCTGTTCTGTGTTGGTTAAAGAAATGTCTTGTCCCCTTAGTGAAATGTTCATTTCTTGCAGTGCCATGCTGCACCTTCATGTCTATCAGTTTAGACAGGGATACAGAGTCATGTCCTTTGGCGTGCTTCTCGGTACGGTAAGTGCAGCGCATGGCATTGATAACATATTTAGATTGTTTAATAAATCTGTTTATTTCTTTGCAGGCAAGGAAGACATCATTTTTGAGAAGCTGAAAGCAGCTTCAACAGACAATCATTTTACAGTTTATAGAAAAAAGGATATACCAGATAGGCTGCGCTATAGAAACAACATCAGAACCCCTCCAATCATCATTGTTGCAGACATCACGTATAATTTTATTACTAACATGTCTGCTGATCAATTTAAACTAGGTAAGTTCAAATTAGTATTTATTGATGTTACGTTTCTGGTTTTTTTAATGTTCTATTTTATTGTTATAAGTAGTTAAAAATAGTTAAATGTCCTTTTCAGGATGCATTAACTGGCTGTTTTTGTCTTTACTAGGAAATAGCTGAGAGGGAAGAGAAGTGTCTGGGGGTTTGTAGTAAAAGCAAATGGAAAATGTTAAGGATAACCTAACATATGATAACACAGAATCTAGCATGAGAATTTAAAGTGGAGGCAATCACTGCCGTTTTCTGATGGCTAGAGAAAAAAATGCAAAACATGTGGTAATTGTAACAGACTCTTTGAAAGCATGCTAAAAAAGGTGAAGACTGGTTGCTTCGAGCAGAGTGGCAAGCTTCAATCGGAAGGTCACAGATGGAGAGCATAGTTTGGATTTTTTCTCCAGGCCCTGCCAGCGGGATGGGGAATGAACAGACAGCCAGACTGGGTGGATCTGCACCACCCACTGAGTGGTGAATTGATTCATAACAAGGTAGATGTGGTCAGGGCCCTTTGGGAACAAGTAGCAAAGTCAGAAGAGAAACTGGATTATTAAGGCTTGGAGAGAATGATGCCCCTGGATGTGACCAGAGGGTCCTGCTGGCTTACTACAGACATATAACTAGACTACACCCAGTACCATTAGTATTGGTACTCTGCGCTGGCTGCTGAAGATAGGGGTGGGGACGCATATGGTAATGCCCCGAGGGCTGTGAGGTCCATTCTTGACTCAACTTAACTGAGCTCTTTACTTGGAAATTTGACATTGGGTAGTTTGCCATTGCTTTATGAAAGGTGTCACTTATCATAATCACTTAGCAGGTTCTTTACAGAACTTCACTCTCATCCTGGCACGCCTGAAAGTCTCTCTCTGTCTCTGAGTTTTTGAGCCCCATGTGCTTTCATAGCCAGTGCATCTTCAATGTTTGTGTCCGCTTCCATGGAGGTCGACCTCTTCCTCATTTTGCTCACTGTACTCTCCATCAGGCCACCGTGAATGACATTTATACCATTGTCCAAATCAGGACAAGGTAGTATACTTCCAGCTCACCTTTAACAGTCTTCAAACCATGGTGTATCCTTGTGTGGGTTCTGGGGACCTTTTGTGGGGAAGACAAGAACAGACCCACTACCTACCAAAAAACATTTGGTAAGAGTGGACTAATTGGGAGCTTCCTTCAAAGTCGAAGTGCATCTGTCTGAGAGGCAAGGAACCAGCAGTCTGCATACAAATGAGTCAGATCTGTAAAACGGATGCACACACAACACTTAGGTTCTGGAACACGACTGCAGTCCAGAAGTGGATTAACAACCAGAACTTTCCGCCAGTGTTTACAGCTGGTGAACGTGGAAAAAAAAAGAAGAAATATGGTATTGTGAAACACACAAGATAAAGCACCCAAGTGGGTAGTAGTTGACGGGGTAATTTCCATTACATCAGCAACTTTTTTTTTTTTTTTTAATTCAGTTTATGCAATTTTTAACATTTTAACATGTTTGTCCAATTATGACAGAACATTTAGTGTTTTGTATATTTGTGCATGCCTGCCAGGGCCATATGGGCCCACAAAGGATGGATTTACTTCTTTTTTGCACGCGTGTCATAATAGACAACCAGTTAACGGTCTGCTGAAATCAAATGTGTTGGGCTGAAAGGCGCAGATATCGCAGCCAAGCTGTAAATGACCACACAGAGTGCCAATCATTGTTTTAACGACAGATGCTGAAGAAGACAGAATAACAGAATTTACATCAACCCTTTCACCCCAAAAACTCTTTTTTTAAATGTAAACAAAAAATTATTTGGAAAAAAAAAACGTTTTGACACAAGGATTCCTTAAAAAAATGTAAAACAACAGTTTTCACACAATTATGAATAAATTGGTTTAAAATGTTTTTATCGACATTTTAAAATTAGTTTTGGAAATATGTAAAGATATAGTAAAGGAGTAATCAATAAACTAATACGGGGCAAAGGATTAAACTGTATACATCCCATGAGGCCTAAATAACACGCACATATTGTGTGATTCATGCTGTTATCCTGTGACCTTCATGATGAGAAAATCCTATGTCATCTTGGCTTTTAAAAAAAGAGGCTATTTTAGCCAAAAGGAAAGTCCCTATGAATGATATTGTTAATTAATTTCAGAGCAATGTTTTCCCGTTGTAAATTTGAACAAAGAAGACACAAACAATAGATTGCACAATTTATTGCCTGACATAGTTATTGAAATTCTACTTTAGGTATAGAGGATTCACTTATTTGCTTCATTTATGTAATTATTACTGTAGTATAAATAAATTGTGCAGTCTATTGTTTGTATCTTCTTTTTTAATTAATTTATGAAAATCCGGACCTGCTGAATGTTTGCGCAGGCACAAACTCACCCAGTTGCATTTAATTTACATCTCGTAACCAGATCACGATAGGCAAGTCGGAAAAGGGACATTTAGGGGGAATTTGACCCAATTGGAAGTGTCTGTTTTTCAGCTTCTCGGGGTGGAAGGCTTAACTTTTTGAGTCCCAAGGAACGCATCATACGTTCATAGGTCCTGCCTAGATGCGCAGATTTTACATCTCTCTTGACTACCCCTTGGGCCTCTGATGCTAAACCCCCTGGGACTCAAAGAGTTAAAAAAACACTTTAAACCAATGTTTAGACTGAATATCTCGACATAACTTTCAGTATCTTTGTCCTTTATCGACAGCTGGCAACCACGGATATGACAACAAGTATGAAGACATGCATCCATTCTTTTTGGCTATGGGACCATCATTCAAGCAGGGAGTTGAAGTAGAGACATTTCAGATGGTGGATTTGTATCCTTTGATGTGCCGCTTACTGGAGCTGCAACCAGCACCAAACAATGGCAGCTTGGATGTGGTTTCTCTCTTCTTGCAGGATCAACAGAATTCCATTTGGACTGTTTCAGCATGTAAGTATTGGGAGTTCAGCATGTTTTATTTTCCGTGTGGGTTCAGGGACCCCAATTTTTTTTCATTTGGGGGGGGGGGGGTAGATCAACTTCTTCCTAATAAGTAAGGGGTGGGTTGAAATCAGACGAAATGAGCCAAAAAGGTCTAATTTTGCAGCCTAGCCGTTAAACAACAACACAGTGTGTCAGCTGCCCTAATAACCCTTTTGCTTCTGTGGACATATTTTGCCATTTTCCCTTATACTGATACGCATGTCTTTGGACCTTATTCGGTTTCTTGACTCCCAGTTCTGTGGGCGTTAAAACACTTTTTTCAATTTCCCTTACAGACTTCCAAGAACCATATTCTCGGGGTTCAAAGGGCAATACACATTAGCCATATTCAGATCCAGTTGAAAATTTGATTCAGTTGGACCCATTTACATACAATTAAACACATTGCCAAGTGTGTTTAGATATGTTTTTAGATTTTTTCTGCGTGATCCTGTTGCTTTGTTTACCATAGAAGCGTGTTCAGTGAACTATGTATTTTTTGCCCTGAAATATATTTCTGGTTTTACATTAATCTATATTTTATTGATAGAAAATAACACACACAAAAACTGGTTGAAGTTGAGGAAAAATTAATGGAGTTACTTTCCAAAAGGCAGCTAAATAAGGATATACAGTCTGTTGGTTCCTTGCCTCTCAGGCTGACTTTGAAGGTAACATCTCTAGTTAGTCATCACACATAGAGAGGTCCCAGAAACCCCTTTCAGCCGTTAAGCCATATTTATAGCTAGGCCATATCTGTGCCCCGGCTATATTCAGGGCCCCCAGCCAAAGCCAAGGTGGGTGGGGCTTCAAAAAACAAAACAATTGCATCCCACATGGGGACGGCTTGCATGTTGAGGGAATGTGCGGAGAAACCTTTTATAATTAGCACATCAGCCTCAATGTTACCTCATGCCTGTGAGGAATATCACCTCACCACACTTGATATTCAGTCAAGCTGACAGATTGTCAGGCTTTCTTAGTTTGTGTGATGTGCAGCTTCAACATGTTTATTTGCCTTTATGTTTCTTTGTTGCAGACATATTGTCCCTGGCTGTTATAATAACACTTGGTGGGACATTTGCTGTTGCCTCAGTTTGGCATTATTGTCAGAAGCATAAAAGCTCAGAGCTTGGGTTTGGTCGAACTGCAGCAAGGATACATTCTTTCAAAGACATAAATGCCCAGTACAAACTCATACCAGATGAAGAGGCACATGATGATGGTCTTTGAGTGAGTATTTATTTATTTTATGTTTTCAGTGCAACTGCACTTATATATTTTTGTCATGTCTTCTACTTGCCTCTTTAGCACAACAGCTTTCCTTGTCACCTTCGGGTTCTCATGTGGTAGACCTGAGTTTCGACCCCTGGTAAGGTAATGGATATTTTTCTGTGGGGGGGGCAAACAATAAACATCCTAACCTGCACGGTCATGCGGCCCTAAATCCTCAGATACATGGCCCTCTGTCTACACCGCCCTAAAATGCAGTAAATACAAACAGTATTTGTTATTTGGTGACCCACTTTGTCTGCATCTGTGGCTTAAAGGCTTTGATCATAGTTTTCTATCAGAAGTCAACATCTGGCCAGAGATGACTACCACTTACTTGACTGGCATGGACCGTCATCGTTCTACATCTTAGGACAAAGTATGGCACATTTGACAAGCATATGCACAGGCTTCATCTGAGTAGCACACCATTGTGCCCTTGTGGCAAGTCTGTCCTTTGTACAGCTCATTTAAGTAGGGAGTACTGTCCCAGTTAGTTATCGATATACTCAACTTTCCATGACAAACAAAACATGAGGTTAGTTGCATATCCTTTACAGGACGTCGCAGAACCAACCCCAACAGCCACTGGCTGTTGTGTGGTTTTTCTAGGCAAATTTACGTCCAGTAGTTTGCCATTGCTTTCTGGATGGTCGGCTTTCTTGATACCACTGTCGAAACCAATGAAAGGCACATGGCCCGCAGCTGGGATCGAACCCGGCATCCCGGCATTATGAAGCGTTCACATTGACTTAGCCACAGAGCCGACAAACAAAACATAGCTATAAAAAATAAACAGTCAACTTCATCACAAGAATTCATCTATCTGTGTAAATCAGAGAGTGATCACAAGAAGAAGAAGAAGCAAAAAGAATGCTTCATAATTCTGCCAGGATTCAGAATCAGCTGCAGACAATTTTGCAGCAGACTTTATCATGTAGATTTTAACAACAGTGTGACCGTCATAATTGTGGTAGACTTTTCTTAACAGGGCCGGGTGCCCGGCTCTCTAGCGTAGTTGGCTAAACCGAATTGCGCGGTGACCGGGTGACGAACTCCTTCCAGGGTTCATTCCCTGGGGTAGGCAGAAAAGCCACATTTCTCCCAGATTTACGGTATTTACAATGGAATCAAGGCAGCAAGGTTGCGATATCCATAATACCGAGCCTAAGGGTTAACAACTCATGGCTTCTGGATACTAAAACAAACAAACAACAGGGCCGGGTCTTGCTAGTCACACTTGCCATTGCCATGGGCGGTGAGTTTCCATGCCTCCTCATAATACAGTATAACACTTTTTTTTCTGGAAAGATGGAAAAGTGCCAACCAATGATCATGAGACTGTTCAAGAAACAAAAGTGCTTACTGAAACCATAAGCAGCCATAAGTCAAGGTCCTTTGGGAACAAGTAACGGAATCAGTAGAAAAACAATATTATTATGGCGTGGAGAGAATGAGGCACCTGGGTGTAACCTGAGGGTCTGGCCGGCTCACCACACTCAGAGGAAAGGCGAGACGGACCTATAACCAGATTGTGACCGGTACCATCAGTATTGGAACTCTGCGCTGGTTGCTGAAGATGAGGACGGAGCACGCTGTGATGTCAATTCCTAACTTAACTAACTAACTAACTAAGCAGCCATAAAGTGCTGGGCTTGAAGTTTGGCATCCTGTCAAAGGATATGCAACTAACTTTTTAAATCCCACTTTTTTGAAGTTGGTCGGAACATGTAGTGTTATCATGGCTGACATCACTGCACATTGGGCTTTCCCATGCCTGCTTAGTCCTCTGGTGCAGCAGCCACTCCAGGGTACCTCTACTGATTCTTCCCTTGAGGCGGTGGTTATAATGTCTCCTTTCTTAGCCTCTAAGGCGGTATAGATTTGCTTCACCAGGCAGTTATGTTAGTATTAGAAATTCATCATTATTCACTAGCCCAGTGCGTACAGTGTTGATGATATCTGCTCTGTCCATGCTTCCCATCTCATGGTGCATTGCTTACAAGCTGGTCCATCTGCATGACCGGATATGTTGATCCAGGTGAAGGAGTTTAAGTGCGATTTTTAAGGCATTCTGCCTATTCCAAGTACATATTACCTGTTGTGATTTCTGAAACATGTTCATGGAGTCTGATACATTTATTGCATGTGAGGTGTTGCTGCTGGTTCTGCAGCTTATGCCAGTGCTCTGGAAGCACGGTTATCTCCAGGCTTCTACTTATTAGTACATTTCTCTCAAGACATTTTCATTATTCATTTTGTAAGTAAAAAGCTGTTACGAAAGATTGATTTACAAACAGAAAAATGTTAATTCATGAAACAAGAAGAACTTCTAGAGCCTAGAGAAATATGTGGAAGGCACGGGACATTAAAACTAGTACTTTGACTGTAACAACAAATGGAGCAGAACACTCTCAATAGAAACCATATATAATTGTATGGGTGACTTTAAAAAGAAATGCTTTTGTGTACAGATGAAGTCTGTCACCAATATGTTCTCTGACCCTTCTCACTTGCTTTTTGTATTCATTTAATCATTGTATTTTCACAAATTCATGACAGTTTATTTAATTTTTAAATTATGTAAATTATTTTTCCAGATGTCTTTTTCGTGAATCTCTGGATGACTGCATTGTCTTTATTATTCAACGGTTGGTCTTTAAAAGTGAGATAAACCTGTTATATTTAATGTGGAGAGTTTTACCTTGCTGTTTGGGATGTGATGTTGGAGAAACATATTTATGAACACAATTTTGCCAACATTATTATTTGCAAACATTATTATTTGCTGGCCTAAAAGACACAAGCTCAAATCCCCCACCAAAGCAGACTTTTAAAGATTAGCCTGGACTTGTATGTTGACACAAAACAGGTCCTGGCACAAAGCCAAAGTCCAGACGGATGAGCAACTAGTACTTTCTGCCAGAATTTACAGCCGGCAAACATAGAAGATGAAGCAGAAGTATGTTGAGCCAGGTCACACCCTAGAATCCATTTAAGGCTATTATTTGCTTGCCTGCTGGCCTATAGTAGACATAGGCTCAAATCCCCACCAAAGCAGACTTTTAAAGATTAGCCTGGACTTGCATGTTGACCCAATTTTAAGTGGTTTCTAGGAAATGTCCTGGGATTTATAAGTGGTCATTTGAGTAACAGTTGGTCAGTAAATACAGGGGGTCCCATAAGTGTCCATCATCATCATCATCATGTAGCAGGTCCTTTGCAGAACGTCGCTCTTATCACAGTCTGCCTGACAGAAACTCAGTCTCTCGCCAGTTTTCCTGCCTCATGTACTTTATACTCAAGGAGTCACTTATATCCTGTGCCCATCTTTGTGTCGGTCGGACCCTGCCCCTCCTTTCAGTCTTTCTTGATGTTCAGACCTTTTAAGATGTCAATATTTCTCCTCTTCTTTGTCCAAGATATTCTGAATATCTTTCTATAGCATTATAAGTTTCCATACATAGGGAACATTAAAAAAATTTTTAAATTAAAGCAGTTTTTCTTTATGTAAACTGCTGTGCATGACTACCACTGTTTTGTAAACACATTACATTGCGTGCCGTGCACTGCTAAATAACACATATAAGCACAGCTGGAGTTGTGCTTGTGATGGCGTTAGTGATTTGTTTATTTTCTCTGTGTATGAAAATTTATGGGACACCCTGATTATGGGACTAGCATCATATACCAGGTACGTCTCGAGCCACGGATATGGGTCCTTTATTGTATTTGTTCAGCTACTTTTGTTATTGACTGATTGATTGGCACCTTTCCATCTTTCCAGACATTGGTGTTGTTTTGCGCGGTGAGGAGGCATGGGACTCGAAGCCCATGGCGATAGCGAGTGTGACTAGCAAGACCCGCCCGCATTAAGAAAAGTCTTCCAGAATTATAGCATGGGATTTCAGAACCGTTGTCCACATTTGTGTTTAGGCGCTCAGCTCTCATCCTTTCTGCAATCATTTCTTCCTTCATTCTCTTTCCCTTCCTGATGTTCCCCCTCCCACGAGTCCACCTCAGTAACTGTGTCATTCATGTGAAGTTCCTCTTTTGCATAGCACAAAGCACAGTCTTGTTATTTGGCTGTGAAATTGACTGTCATCTTTTGGAGAGGCTTATACGGGGACTTTAAAACAAAATCTACCACCAAGATCCCAGCTATAAGAACCATGGCAAATTATCTTGTATTTATTATCTTCACAGCAAGAGTGTTAAATAGACACATTTAAATAGACACATTATTTCTTGATTTCACAGAAGTATTTGTTGATGCTGAAAATTCATAAAATTTAGGTAAACAAAGTGCCATGTTGTATCATTTTTACTGCGTTGAGTGTAAAAATCTGCTTTTTTGCAGTAAATAATACTACAGTAAAACCTTGCTTATGTATGATAAACATTGTGTTAACACGAACACAATTTTTGCTCAAGGAAGCGTGTATTATTCATAACGCATATACCAGTCCCTGGTTAGCACAGATTTTTCTTTTCACACAAACTCTGGATTTTTCAGGCCTTTGGAATTGCTGTTAACAATAATTTACTGTATTTTACAATAACACAATTTAAAGCTAAAGTGCATGAAGCAGAAAACCTGGTCAAGATAAAAAGTCTCTGTCTTGTCATAAAGAATGTGTTACATTTTGCAAATGACCTGCTGTTACTTTCCTTTGCAGATATAGGAAACAGGCCATCTTGTAAATTCTAACCATACACTTATTCATCAAGCAGAAGTCAGAGAAAGATGGTGGGTTTTGTGTGCTAGTGCTTCCATCAATGCACCTCTACGACCCTAATGGGTCAAGGGTTATGTTATGTTATGTACATTCTTATACGAGAACCTCAGACTACTGAGATGTCCTGCAATTTCCCACTCACTTATTTGCCATTCTCATTTGCATTCTTGTAACATTATCAGTTGATGTTTTTTATTATAAAGGTTGTGATTATATTAAAAA